CCCTGGAAGCTCCCAGGTCCTGCTTTACGGCCTATGCCCTCATGCAGAACTGTTTTTGTCTTTACTTCGAAAGCTTATTACCCCCCCCCCCCCCAGAATTGGGTTGGGGTCTAGCTTTCTCAGGCACACCGAACCCTGTCACTGTAGTAGCATTTTGGCTTCTTGCTCCGGGGATAGCACAGGCAAGGTAAGACACCACCCTCTTTTGGGTCTTAACTAGGGTGTTGAGTTTGTTTTCATCCCGGACTGGGAAAAAACTTTCATCATTTTTTCTGTTTGCTCGGAAAAACCCGCCACCTATCGGCGTCTGACTCTGACTCTGCCTACAGTTCAAAATAGTCATTTTGACTGACCGGAGTCTATGATGGATAATTGAACATAGTGAATTTAGCCGAGGGTTCTTCGAACCCGCCTATTCACATAGTTCATACCCACCATAGACTCCGGGTCCCCCCCAACTACCCCACTCTTTCCGTAGCGTTGGTCTAAGTCCTTGAGGCGGAGAGAAAGGGACCAGAGTGATTGTACAGCTGCTTATGGCGCTGCCATGTGGCCTCGGTCACGTGGGTTAGTGACGTAAGGGGTAAAAGAATCTTGGAGTCATGGAGCTTCCCCTGACCTAGATTCTATCTTTCCGTCACCAGCAATCGCTGATTAATGCCTACAGTTCAAAATAGTCATTTTGACTGACTGGAGTCTATGGTGGGTATGAACTATGTGAATAGGCGGGTTCGGAGAACCCTCGCCTAATTTTGTGAATTTGTGATGAAAAGAGGAAACTGGTGGGGAAAAAAGTTAAAATCTGACGACTATGGACACACTACTATAATATAGCTATGATGAAATCAACTTTTGTTATTAACACCTATTCACAATTTGAATTAAATAAATTAAAAAAAAATGTATCAAGAATATATGATGTCATTTTGGGCTAAAATAAAAACAGATACACATGTATTATAAAAAATTACTGAAATTATACAAATATTGCCATTCAAAACAGTTAATTAATTGCCTGGTACATGTATTCCATAAAATGAAAAGCATTAAATTGAACATCAGTTGTTGAGAAACTTAATTATTTCATTGTATAATTGATGAAGTAGTATAAATGTAATGTTAAGGGACCTGACTGAGCAAGACTGATACATGATATTTTGCATTGAATAAATTACTTTGGTGAGTCATTAACAAAATGAAAACTCATGACCACAAGGTTTCATTTTTGTGATAAACGACCTACAGTATAAATTTGGCAGCCCGGAGGAATATAAAACAAACAGTTATTAGGATTTGATGTATTAATATACTATCTTTATTGTCAGTGTCACAGTGTTCATATAATCAGTCTGCGTTCGTGTTCATCCAAGCATAAAACGACACCTCCAACTTGTACATCATATGTGATAACTTGATTCCATACATAATTACGACAATGCACTCATCCACACTACGGATCATTACATTACTTCAAGTGCAGTCTTGTGGGCTTTTGTTTTATGCAACTGTCGGAATTAGGTCATTTGTGTCATTACTTTAATAGATTTTATTGCTTCGGGAAACCAAGTATTTTGTATGCAGGAAATTGCCCGTTGATACAGTCGCAGACAGGATTGTTATGGTGTATGGAGCTCTGCATATATATATATATGCTGCTGTGACACTTAACTACGTTATTCAGTTTTGGTAACTGCATGCTGAGCGTCGATTTATTGTGGGAAATCCTATTATAGAATGACTCAATTCCTGATTGTGATACTGCTTCACTGTAGCTGCTCTGTTTAAGTTTGACTCATCGCATCATAAATTGTGTCCTCCATTGCCTTGATCGATATCTTGTATAGCAGCATTTTTTTCCCCTCCGATATTGAAGTCTATCTTGTGAAATTGATTATCCATGGATATGTATGATACATTTCATCTGCAGAGTATACTCCACAGTATAGAGGAAATAAGCGATAAGAACATAAGCTTAATCAGAGACATTGAAACCATAGAAGGCAAGGCAAATGAACAAGATGCTACCCAACTGATAGACAGTTTGAAAGAACATCTGAAAGCGTCGCAGGAAACCAACGCACAGGTAAAATGAAACATACGCTAATATTGTCAATTTGTTTTGTTCTTTGATCGAATTTGAGTTTGTTTACATTTTCAATAATTTATAATTTGAGTATTAATCAATAGGTTCAAACAATAAATAATACTATTGATGTAATTTACATAATTTATGTGTAAAAACTATTAAAAATAAAAAGCGCTAACAATTCTCTATATTTTGCAGGGTTGTAAAATAAATGAAAAAAATAGCAGAGTGGGGGGTTGCTCTAAATTGTTTCCATGGAAACAATGACTTTTCTGTTTTCCCATACAACTGAGGTTCATAAATCTTTTTATTCAAAAACTATTTATTTTTTTCAAATCACTAATCAAAATGATTTTCTACATCAAAGTGGTTCAGATAGTATAGATAGATAGTATATTTCCTAGCTCTGGGCCTGCAGTGTACATGTTTACATATTTATGTTAATTAGCCACCGTGTGTTAGAAACATGTAGCGTTGACATGTGACTCATTCATAAATTTGTGTGTGTGTATGTATTCAACAGTGATTCATATGATATGTCATCCAATCAAACAATAATGCAAATCTTTTTTTCCCTTTCACTGTACAGCTGTACAGCATGTCTGTTATCAAACTAATTAATACCATTACAAATTAAAATTAGGAAGAAAATACTGAAATAGCAAAAAATGTATAGTATTGAATATTGATGACGTTGTCAACGGATACAATTATTTCAGCTGATTTTAATTCATAATTAGTAATTAACTAATTTAATTCATAATTAGTAATTAACTAATTTAATTTATAAGTAGTAATTAACTAATTTAATTTATAAATAGTAATTTATAAGTTTATAAGTTAAGCATGATAAGATTAAAAATTGAGATTAACAATTTATACAATATATTTTGTCTCATTTGGGTCCCAATCAAAATTGTTAGTTTAACGTTATTTCCCTACATGTATTTTTTTTCCTGCAAAATAAGACATTCTAAATATCTTCGTTTTTAAGAGATTTCATCAATTTTGTTTATAGAAATGCAGATAATTAAAATATGTGAACATAATCACTTTAGAAAACATTCACCTCTTCTGTGAGCAAAAGTTTGCAATGACGAAAAATAAAGTAAAACAATAAACAGTTTTGCATACATGTACATTGTTTTCACCTTCAAGATCACATTTTCCATGTGAATGTTTTAAAAATCAACATCTCCTTAGCAGTTGCTACTGTTTTATTCAACTTATTTTCAATGGTTTCATTTGAATCTTGAGACATGAAAAATAATTGTGTGACATTTATTTAAAAAAAAATTCACAATACATTAGCAGTTTAATAGTATACATGTAAGCTAGTACATTTGGGCGATTAAGTTTTTTTTGTCGCCTAGCTTCTTTGGAAAATAACC